GAAAGAACTAGAGTTTTGAGTCACAAGTGATCTCTGAGTCAATGGCAGGATGTAGATACAAAAAGCTAAAAAGTTGCCCCACGCAAATGATACCTAAGACATCAAAAACAAGGGGTAGAACTAACTCCCTCTTTACTCTATGTAGGTCAGAACCCACCTGGTGTTGAGTCCTTTCTGAATACAGTGCTTTCAGAAGGATAGAAGGATAAAAGTGAACTGAGTGTTTTTATAAGAAAGTAACTGATGCATGAGGAGAAGGAAATGCTCAGAACTATGCACTTGAGGGAAAAAGTAAGAGAGAAAACTAGCAATATTGAGCCTGGAAAATGTATTTAAGTGAACATAAATTACAGCACTTGATAGTTATTACTCTGTACTAAGAACTGAGATATTGTGTGGATTGATTAAGCCATTGTGATTGAGTCCATTTAACACAAGGGGAGGCTGAGTCTTTGGTGGTCATTTGCTTAAAATTACATAGCTGGGAAAATATAGAAATGAAGCCCAAATCCAACCTTTTTGGCTTTAAAATCTATGTTCATTGCAATCATGGTTCTTAAAGTGAAGATTATTCTCCCTTGTAGGTTTAAGTAGTGGCCTTTACAAGCTCCAACTACCTTTTGAAGCTCTCTTAGGGGAACAGAATTATAAGCTGAGAAAGATACGCACAGTAAAAATCATAGATACTGAAATGGGCAGCAAATGTTCATAGAGCTGCCCAGTAGATGTGGGGTTTACTCAGACAAGTGAGAACTCTTTGGGAACAGTTAAAAATACTTGGGAAGAGTAGGAGGATTCAATGCTATGTTGTTGTTATTGTTCTTTAACATGTTGATGGTTCATGATACCAGGTCTGATTAAGACGAATCTATTGTATAGTGAATGTGTAGAGTTGTAATTACCTTGGACCCAATGTCGCTGTTTCTAACTTCATCACTTATATCAGCAATGGTTATAACAAAGTGGGTGTCTGGGGTTTTGCCATGGTTTCCCTATCGAGAGATTCATATTCATAGATGAGAACTGAAATCGGTTTCCTAAAAACCCGATGATATTTTGGAGGAGGAAAAATAGTTGGCCCATTTCAACTTCTGTGGATGACCAACAGATGGTGTTTACTCTTTTATAAGATACTTTTCCCATCAGGCAGCCTGCTTCAGGACACAGGTATAAGAGATGGAAAGACTACGAGTAGACAGAGAAGGTAAATATGTAGCTGGGACTCAGGTGATGGGACTAGATGCCTTGTCAGTTGAGAGCTGACGCTTCAGGCGAGATCTAACACTGTCATAATAAATCTTAAGGAGAGGCAGAGTGGTAGGAATTGTTAGGAAATGAAGCTTTCAAAGCCCAACACTGAGTACTGTAGTGGGAAAAGCTCCACGAATTTTCGATCTACAAGTAAACAGAGAGAAAGGCTTGCAGAAGTAGAGGAAAATATACAACCTAACATTGTGACATGTTTTGTGTTTGGGTCCAAATTTCCTGAATATGCTAAAAACTGTTCTGTGGGCTCTAGCCACTTTTTTATTCCCCAGCACTTTAAATGGAACTGTATCTAGGCATGTGAATATTTGTGTTTTAATACAGAATTTCACCAGGAGAGACCTCCACTTCCATAACTATTCCTAGTCAGAGTGACTTCATGAAACACTCTTATATAGATCATGTAGGACCACAAATCATACAGTTCTATCTGTGCCACTACAAAGAAGAAAAACAGAGAAATGGCTCAAAACAAGAAATGAGGGATCCATGGAATTATATCAACTCTTTTTCTCCTTTCTCCTAACTGCTCTCTTAAGAAAGGCTAAACTTTTGTCTTCTAGATGATCCTACAGGCTCCTGAAGCACCTTCCCTCCGCAAGCTGACAAAGCCCAACATTGAATTCTGTAGTAGAAAGATCTCCATGAACACTGGTGCCAATAGGAAAAATTTTCTGGGCAAATAGAATCAACTCCAGTGCTATCACACAGAAATCTTTTTGCCTTCCTTAAGATAAATTATCATTATCACATGATGTCATGATATTTTCCTTAACCTTCAGAATTGACAGATCTATAATAGCTGTAAGTCAGTTTCCTTGTGCTACCTATGAAAACTCATCTGCGTCTTACAACATTGTAAGAACTTGGGAACCTTCAGGAATTGTTTCAGAGAGTGTTTTATATAAGTCTCTTCAGCTAGTAAGTATCTTCTGCCTCAACACTGTTGACACTTGTAGAGTTTGCTATGGATCCTGTCTTACATTCTACTTGCCTTACTGACAAGCAAGTTATATCAGACCTGAGTCCAGAACAAATGGAACTCTTCATATCAGTGAAAAATCTCTCTACTATTTCTCCTTTGCAAAAATAACTCTGGACTCAACTGATGTTTCAGAATCTCTATCCTGAGATGTCCTGTGCTCTGGTCTTATCAGAGCAGTCAGGGTTCACTCTGTGATTCCCCAAATCACTACTCTTCAGTATCTTCTTTGTACTCTCTTCTCTTAGATCCTACAACAAACATTATAAACACTTCTACCTTAGCAGTTTTGCCCAGCCTACACTCAGGGGTAATGAAAAGGAATCCTAGATTGGTCTAAAAGGATCCACTTTGATTCTAGAGAAAGACAGAAGTAGGAGACGTCAACTTCTGAGTGCTATGGGTATTGCAAATTGTTATTTGGGGCAGACAAAGAATTGCAGTTAATACTGGGAGAGAAATCTGGACCCTTAGCCATGCACAGTGTTGGATGGGGTGAGGTAGAGTTTGTACCTTCATTTCTGTTATGCCTCCTGGACTGAGAGAATAAACTACTTCTGGCCTTCTGTCTTCCAAACACTTGACCTGTTGGTAAGCACTAGGGTATCAATCAGGACCTGATAGGTTTCATCCCACAGCTTCCCATTTTTAGATGTGCCTGAATTCTGCACCCCAAACAGAACAGTCACCAAGCCTCCAGACTCAATTATCTCCCACATGGGGTTGTCCTCGCCCCACCTACGTACTGGCTTAGTGCTAAAGGTGCTTAGCCCTTTACAGATCTGTTTATTCACACCCTGTTCTCTAAAACCCCTCCCAAATGTATTCACTTTGGTCCACACAGCACCCACACTTCCTCTAAAGCATTTGCTTACTCCTCTCATATCTCCCCATCCCATATGAAAATAGAAACATCACATGCTTGTCATTGTCTCCACAGGTCTAGGGAGTGGAAAACATCTTTTTATGAATGCACATGTAGGGTCTAAAACCCATCCCTTGTTATATATTTTATATAAATATAAAATCAAAACAAGAGCATCAACAAAAACTGTAGTGCAATTTTTAAGTATGTAGAAAGTTACCACTTATAGATGTAACTGGAAAATGATGGCCTCTTAGGCCAACCCTGACACGAAGCTCCTCATCCTTTCTGAACTGTGAAAACTTCCACTCTGTAGCCCTATAACTCTACTTTCTGACCACTCAGTCTCTTGCAAGGAATAGTCTACCCCTAGAATCATGACTACCCAGAATCTCTGAAGATGGCTTTATTTGGTAAAAGGTCTTCAAGGCTGCCATTGGTTAAGGGCTCAAAATGGAATTGTTCAGGATTTAAGTAAGCCTCAAATCCGGTGACTCATGTCTTGATGGAAGAAAGGAGAGGGACAGGTACACATAGAAACATGGGGAAGAACACCACGTGAAGGCCAAGGCAGAGATGAAAGAGGAATTCACACAATGCCAGGAATGCTGAGAGGCATGGGAAGAAGGAGGAGCAGGAGCAAGAAAGGATCCTTCCTTGTAACTGTCAGAGAGCACTGACCTGCTGCTGATGTGATGAGTTGAATTTGGGGCATCCAGAGTTGGAAGATAATTTATTTCTACTGTCCCAAACCATTCAGCCCCACTTTTTGTATATCTTATACACATTTTTGTTGGAAACTCTGGGACACTGACACTTTGTGAAACTAAGGTGGGCTCAGTGTGCTTCTCTCTGAAAGTCCTTTACCAGAGCTTATAGGTCCCTGAGTAACTGCTCCAGACTCACTGTGACACCATGAGCAAGCATATCATCATGGTCACTGGTTGGGAGAAGCTTCCAGAATCATTATTTTTGGAAAAAATATACTGAAGTTTCAGTGGTTATAATGTGATCTGCAAACAATAGGGAAATAATTTACTTATAGCATCATTTTTATGATGGGCACATGAGCCAGAGTCCAGTCTAAGCCCCAGAGACAGTAAGCAGTCTCTCAGCAAGGGACTAATTCATTGTCTTTTCCATTCTTTGTTTTCAGAACTTGCTTATCATTCAAACACTAATAACTAACTTTGACATAACACTTCTGGCTGATCTGTGGCATCTATTCCTAATTTCTGTCAAGTATATTGTTCTATTGTAAAAAATAAACCTCATAGTTATCCTTCTAAGGAAACTGTCTCTGAAGAGCTGTACCTAACATCCTCAGCACAGGATGATCTTGTCTAAAGCTGACAGGGAAATTTATACATTGGAAGGGTGACACTTCATGTGTAGTACTTTAATCTCTTCTAGACCCTGACCTAGAGCCTGGCCCTGTGTGGCAGAGCTCTGGGGAGTCTACTGTTTCTAGACTTCACAGTATCAATTTTCTACTTTCATTGTCTAGACTCCAGTCTAGACACGTACAGTTCTACAGATCTTAAGTTAAAGCTTTCAAACAAGATAAACCAGAGATATTGAAGAGTGACACAGATAAAATCCAAAGAACCGGGCTCTGTAATTGAGAAGTAAGCAGGTGCTGTAACCCATAGGTCTGCCTAGTCTCTGTCCTACACTGGGTAGAGTTATTGTTTGTTGTAAATTTTTCTTTCTTGGTCTTTTTCCTGCTGGTGTCCCAGAGCCCAGTCATTGCCATTCAAACAAATGACTCATTGGAGGATCTAGAGTACACAGAAAAAAGAAGAATTTTTGGCAAACTGTTTGCCTTTTCAGACCAATAGGAATGCCAGTTAACAACAGGAGTCCAAAGAAACTGCTGAGACGCAACCAGGCCAAACTCAATATTTTTATTGATTTAGTCTGTTTCAGAGCCAAAGGGTCAATGAGGAAGGATGGATTTCCATGGAGGAAAAAGAGACAAGTCCTTAGGAACAAGGATTGGAGAAGGTACAGGGAAATCTATGGCCAGGGCAATGAATAGCTCAGAATGGGTAAGAGTTTGTCTCAGGAATTTTTTTTCTTGACCTGAAAAAGAGAAGATATTGTTAGAGCCTCAGAATCCATGGAGCTGAGGAAGGGAAATACACAAAGTAGATTCTTAATCTACTTTGAGGATATTGAGGAGATATCAATATGATATTGAGGAGAGCTCCTTGGCTCCCCTCATCCTCCAGTACATACATAGGCATTCCTACATTTTCACTTCTTACTGTGTTCTTTTTTTTTTTTTTTTTTTTTTGGTTTTTTTTTCGAGACAGGGTTTCTCTGTGTAGCCCTGGCTGTCCTGGAACTCACTCTGTAGACCAGGCTGGCCTTGAACTCAGAAATCCGCCTGCCTCTGCCTCCCGAGTGCTGGGATTAAAGGCGTGCGCCACCACCGCCCGGCTCTTACTGTGTTCTTTATGGTCGTTTTGAGATGACAGGATATCAGGGCTGGGTCCTCCTCTGAGATCTTACATTCCATACACTGAAGGCTATACCTCCAACTACTTGTCCCATCCTATTATTCTTACCATGGCCATCAGCACCAGGGCACTGACCAGCACAGCATATAGGGTGGCCTTCCCCAGGAGGATCTCATAGAGGATGGTGGCAGACAGAACCCCCTGATGATAAGATACTGTTGACAGGAAAGGAGAGTGAGTAGGTGTTTGTGAGCAGGTTCCTTTAGGCAGCCCCTACCCACTTGTCTGTAGGATCTTTGTTTCCTGTTTTCAAAGCCAAGACAATGGAAGAATTAGAGAAAGTTAGGAGGTTTACTCACCTGAGGTGATTCCACACTCTGAAAGAAAAGAGAGGGAGAAAAATGGGTGAAAGAAAGCCACTTCTTGGGAATATTGAACACCCAACAACAAAGTTTAAAGCTGAAGGTCAAGGCCACGGACACATGCATGTCAGATAGTGTAAGCACTCTCCTCTGATTGTCCTCCCACTGTCTTTCTGATGGTGCAGGACAAGTGGAAGACACTGTCAGAGTGACCTTAAAACTCTAGTATCAGGGATGGGGCTGAGGGATTCTAGGCTGTGAGGGAGGTGTGAGGGAACTCATAAACACAGCTCAGAGAGACTAAAGAACTGGGAAGCCAATTGGCTTGAGCTGCCCCATTGAGTTTAAGTACTCCTTGGGAGGAAGCATATGCTATGGTTTTCGGACACCATGTCCTTGATCATCTGTCCCACCACTCTGGCTTTTTCCTTGATCTATTCTTTGCTTCTACATGGATCATTTCATATTTTTGAAGTACTAGTGCTGTTTGGTTTCCTCACCAGCTTCCCAGGTCCCACATACCTGCTTTGCCCCAGGTCTCTGCACTAACGTTCTGTGTGACAGGTTTGGGTGAGCCTTCTGGCCAATTGTCTTCCTCTGTAAGCCCATAGAAGTGCACTTGGCAGCGGAAGTGATTGCGAGGATTGTGCCAGAAGGTAGCAGAAACCCTCAGGCGGCTGCTCAGGCAGTAGGTGACTCCATTGCTCTCCTTGTAGGCTTCAGAGTCTGTGCTGACCCCATTGTCGATCTTCTTCCCATTAACCCACCAGCTGAGCTCCACGTGGTCAGGGAAGAAGCCCCTGGCTAAGCACACGAGGGTAGCCTTTTGTTTGTCTGAGATCTCTGCTTTTGATGGCTCAAACAAGGAGACCTTGGGTGGAGTCACCTTTCTCAGATCCTCTGGAAAGTAAAGAGGGGGAGGAATTAGCATTTTGCTGATGCCTGTCTGGATCAGGTAGAAATTGTTTGTATCTGAAAAGGCTCAGGGCTGAGAGAGTTTCTGAAAAAGCAAACAAGTCCTGTTGGCTTGGGAATCACGATTCCATTTCTCTACGGCATTAATCTTTTGCCTTGTTTGTCACTTGTATTCATCCAGTGGACATCAACGTTTCCTGCACTCATTCTCATAAGATGATACTATGAATGGTCTGGCCCAATGTTCTGCACAATGTCCCTTTATTGACATAGATTTAACCCTCCTCTATCATGAGAAGTTTATTTCTTATCATTCATTATGTTTAGCAGGTATTTAGTTGGAGCCTGCCACAGAAATCAGAAGTACAGAGTTTGAATCTGAGCAATGACTTTCCATACCTATGTGATCATTAGAGAGTCTCTTTAATATAAATTTTTTTTCTGCTTGCAAAGTGAAACGTGCAACACTGACTTCCAGAAGAGACATAAGGATTTAGAATATTCTACCATGACTAAGTTATCTGTATCAAAGCTAAGGGCCCAAGATTAAATGGTAATTAAGGTTGAAATAAACATTTGGCATGAGAAAGCTTTCCTCAGAATACAATAGATGGCCTATTTTCATACATGCATGTGTAGACACCCTGGTCTACAGTGCATTCACAAAGATGTAAGATTTATTGAGTTTTGTGGTGTGATAATAAACCTATCAATTTCTCTAACTCTAAATATCCCCAGGTCTTTGTGCCTTTCTGTCTGCATTTTGCTTCCAAGCGATTTGCTGAAGATGAAGAGATAGATGTATTTTGTGTTAACAACCCATGCCCTTCTGGATAATGGAGGAACTTGATTTTGACCCTTTTTCATATTTCTGTTGCTATTACCTTATTCCAGGGCTCCAAACAAAGATATCCAACCTGCACAGTTCTTATCCAAAATCACAGGCTTAGTGCTTGGCTTCAAACTCTTCAGTCATCACTCTGGAATTCTGTTTCTTTTTAGTAGGAGTCTCTACATTTTCCTTTTCTTTCTTTTATTTTTTTTTTGGGGGGGGGGATGGTCAGGCAGGGTCTTAATCTGCAGACCATAAAGGTCTAGAATTCTCTATATAGTCCAAATTGGCTTACAACTCATTGAGTAGCCCAGGTTAGCCTCACATTCATGGCATTGCTCTTGCTTCAGTCTCCCCAGTGTTGAGAGTGTGAATGTGGGCCTAGCACATCCTGCCTCTGTTCAGTGTCTTCCCCCCAGTGCATCATTTTCAATGTACCTAGGACTTTACAGGCTGGACCTAGGTGGAAAGAGTATTCTTGCTTCCCTCTGTGGTACTTGACTCTATCTACTCTGCTTTTGGTCTGTCTAGTCTTACTCTGCCCCAGAGATATTGGCTTTGAGATTCTCCCAGCTTCCCATGGGAACTGTGGGATGTACTCTCTGACCCTCTCACTCAGCCATCATTTAGTTCTCATTCTGAAAAAAATCAAACGCTTGCCTGAGTCAGGCATGTTGTTCTCTATTGTATTAATCAACAGCATTGTCAGGACACACAGAAGCATTGTGCTTACTACACCCTGAAGTATGACTTGTATAATTCAATAGGGAGACTGCGGGCAGCTAAGTATCCATGAATGTGAGTCTCTGAGGATTCTTGGGAGGTATAATTGCCTATGAAGGTGAATGGTGTTTTAGTAAGTTGCTGCTGGTATGTGATCTGCTTGTGAACTTGACCAGCTGTGGGTAAAATTGTAAAACTCCTCTTTTCAAACTATCTCCCTATCTGCATTCATAGAACAGGTTCACACAGTAACATACCTAAGCTTACCTTATCATCAAAGAGCCAGGATTGGAATTCAGTCTCATCTGTTCATAAAGTCTGGCTCTTCTCTTTATCCCACATAACACAGGGACCCAACGATTCCTTCAGACACAATATCCTTTAACATGGCTGAGTTCCCTTGGATCCAACTTAATGTCTCAACCACAAATGATGTCCACTGTTGCTATAGTTACCAAATAATACAGGCTCACACATCCAGGCTGTGAATTATTTCTCTTCGATAACCTTGGCCCCTACTGCCAAGTTATATTTAAGGTTTATTTTGATACTGGGATCCTAAGGTTTTTCAAGCATTTTCCCCAAGCTAAATGTACTTTAATGTGCACCTTTGATCAATGAACCAGCACTCCACTCCCCCCAAGATATAGCCTGTCGGTCTAGCCTGGATTACATAGTGTGAGCAATGAAGATTTTAGGTCAGGATTCAGGCGAATAACCTGAGGACAAATAGACTCCAGTGACTAAGTTCCCCTGCCTTGAGGCCAACCAGTCTTGAGAATGTGTGGATGCTGGGTCTCCATCCCTGCTTCAAGGGATCCCAAACTTAAAGGGAAAACAGTGGATGGAATTTAATCGCACATCAACACCACCAGGATTTTGATTCTTCCGTTCTAGTTTATGTGTGTGTCTGTCCTTGGTTTCTTGCTTGATTCATTCCGTTCCTTTTAAAAGATCCTCTCCCACTCCGGGAACTCTAGATTTCCCGGCACCACTTCTGGGACCCTCCTGGCTTTTATCTGCCCTTTAGTTCTTTGCGCCTGCTATTTATTTTCAAAACCAAGTTTACTCCCAGAGTCTTGATTAATCCCTTTTCTCCACGGCCCACCCAGTGTTTGCATACCTTAGAGAAAAGAGAAAGAAACTTACCTTGTCCTGGCTTGCTGCTTGGCACCCTATACCCTGTCTCATCCAGCACTCCCAGAAACGGTGAAGTTGAGAGCAGTCTCTCATTACCGATTTCCCGGGGAGCCCTAACCCCTGTCTACCTCACATTCCTCCAGGGATCCAAGAATTAGGGAGAGGGGAACAGGGAGCGAGAGAAATGAATCTTACCTAAAACCGTGAGCCTGGTACCGGGACCGAAATACTGCTCATACGAGCACAGAGGCGCAACCCCACACACAAACCTGCACGACTCAGCGAGATATTCCCCAGTTTAGGGGCAATCTTTCTGCTAATGAGCCTCCCTTTTCAGCACAGGGCTTGGGAACCCAGGTCAAAGGCACCAGCAGCCCCAGAACTCGCTGCTGCAGTTGCTAAGGAGCTTCAATTGGCTGCCAATCCCGAAAGTCAGGGCGAGTGCTGCACGACCCTGTGACTCCCAAGAGAAATCCAGCTTAAGAGACCCGCGCCCACCGCAGCCCCATCCCATTGCCAACGCTTGTGGGGCCCCAGCTCACCTAACACGAGGAGCCGAGTGCCTGGCCCAAAGTATAGGGTATCTTGGTTCACAGCCCCAGAATCCAGCACAAAAACCATACCCCAGCTTACCTAGCACCGACAGTCGGGTGCCTGCACCGAAGTACTGCGTGTTTTGACTCACAGCCTCTTGGCACAGGACAAAAACTGGCCTTGGCTATTCTTACCTGGGAATCCCTGGAAGGAGGACCTCCCTCCCCTGCATCACTAGTTCCCAACTTACCCAGAACGGTCAGTTTGGTTCCTGAGCCAAAATACAGCGTTTCTGTACTCACAGCCTCCAGGCTCAGGACAAAAACCCAGTGTTGCCCGCTCCTGCCGTCCCAACCCCGACTCAGATCCCCACCAACGATGAGTGCCTCACTTCCCAGCATCCAATCCAGAAATCCTTCCTCCCAGTCAGGTCATCTCATACAAAGAGGATGCTGAGTAACTGTCCCGCTCTGGCCATCGTACTCCCACGGTATCCCCAGCTGCCCTGCTCACCCAGCACTGTCAGCTTTGACCCTTCTCCAAAGAACAGCTGCCCGGTGTTTGCACAGTCCTGGGGATGGTGGCACAAACCTCCTCCTCCCTGATACAGGGCCTTGGATAGTCAAATATTTACTCTTCTAAGGTTTTCTGCTCCAGGGGTCTCTGTGGCTGACTGTCCTACCTTCTCTCTCATTTGTGTGGCTTTTGTCTTCTTACCTAGGACGGTGAGTCGTGTCCCTGGTCCGAAGAACTGTTCAGCATAGGAACACAGCAGAAAAGGGCTGCCAAGAATTCTTCCTCTTTCCTCACCTTCCTCAGCTTGGATCCGGGGTTACTCACATTCTCCCTCTACCTCCAGAATGGGTAATGCAATCTTGACCTTGCATGAGGCCCGATCTCAATTTGAAGAGGAGATAAAACTTTTGGCTTGGGAACAGAATATCCATCTAATTCACTCAGGGACTGAGAAAGTGAATTTGCAATCTGAAAGCTTCCCGGTGTGTCTGAGAAAAGACTTGTAATGAATGTCTTTCCCACAAAGGGTCTATTTATTTACTTAACACTTTTTAATAAGTTCTTAATTTACCATGCATGTACAGATATTTTGCTGATGGTAAGCCTCTTGATAAGGGCTGAATGGTGGAATAACTTCCCTGGATAGGCTTACACTCACGGGAAGCTTTCTAAGGCAATGAGATGCATAGATATTATAAGACCTTGAGGATCCACTCACATAGACTCCTCCTCACATGTTAAATGCATTTCTTGGGCTGAGAGTTGGTGTTTTGGGGGATAGAGCTTTTTGTAAAAGCACCTCTTCCAGTTGAATCATTGTGGCTCCCCCCAGTCCCCACAATGTTACACCATGATACAAAAAAGTTTCTTCCCCACAGGTGCCCTACCCCAGCTCCTGGGCAGGGGCCAGGATACCAGGTGGCTGAGAGGATAGTCTGACTGAGAGGGGCTGGGAAAAGTCGCAAGCTGGGTAAATCTAAAGAGGGGAGGAGCTTGGAGATGTTCTTGGGACTGATGGCGGTATTGTTGATGGGGGCAGGGAGCCCCTGTTCTGAACATGCTCTCACTTTGGGAGAACATCTATGTCACTGGGTTTCCCCTCTTTGACACACAGTGCCCACCTGCTTACACTGGCATTTATAGAGAGATAGGTGGGAGGAGTGAAGTGCTAAGGCCCCTAACAGTAGACTCTACAGAGCAGTTGATGCAACTTAGAACACAGAGTCACATGTCTGAGAAACACACTTTCATCATTTTTGTTGCTTACTGGGCAACGTTCCGCTTTCTCATTTATTTAGTCCATAGTATTTAGTGGGTTATGTAGTAGGCTTTATGTGTTAGGGTCTATGCTGGTTGCAAGGGAACGAGTCCATTCTCAGAGGGGCATGTGCTGATATGGTTTCTCAGCCTTGATTTTGATTATTTCTCTCTCTGACTCTTGTTCCCAGGTAAATGGCTAAACTGTTGTTTGTGCTTTTGCTCCTGCCTCTGGTGAGCATGCACACTCTCTGGAGTGCACACAGTACACATTTTTTTGGAGAATCTGTATGCTTGCATGCCTTCCTCTGATTGTCTAACCGCTGAGAACAGTTTTGTGGACAGTTCACACAGCGATTTCAAATTGCTAGCTTTTATTTCTGCTCTTTTTCTTAGCAACGTAGTCCCTTTATGGACAGGTATTTTTCTTGAAAACTGGGATTGGTTCAATCACCTCTGTTCTGTGACTGGTCAGAAGTAACGCATTACAGTGATACGTGTTCAGTGAGTGAGTGAGATATGAATGTACATGTAAGCGTGTCTGTCCATATGTGGATATATATGTATTTTTGCACAGATTAAACTCTGAAATCATATGCAAGCAAAAGGGAAGGCTTCACTGAAATGCCTGCTTATAAAACTGGGTCACTTTCATTTCCCTTACCATTCATATGTTTATTAGAAAATAACCACTAAGTGTATACCCTGAAGCAAAATATCACACAGTATTCCAGGGTACTATCAGAAATAACACCTTAGTTATGGGGTACACACCAGTTACATGGGAGGTGTCAGATAAGAAACAGTTCCCATTAAGTATGATGTTACAAGGGAGGACTTTACAAGGAGCCAAACTGTTCAGAATGTTCTTAATCTAGTCTTAGTAAGAAGGAAGGACTGGGCAAAAACTGTTAAAGGCTCCAGGAAGACAATGAATCCAAGTCCTTAAAATGAAGTAAGGATTACTGAGGGAAGAAAGGGGTACCATGTTGCTCCAGATGGAGCAGGCAGGAGGAGAACATGCTGAATGGTATGAAGCAGATGAGAGGAATACAGTATGGGGGATTATGAGGTAAAATGAATCATTAAGTATGTCATCTTAATGGTGTAGAGATGTGCAGGCTTTCTTGATGTAGCAATAGGGCTTGCTCTTGCTTGTAGAAAGCTGTATTTTCTGTACTTTTAGGCACACCCATGGGATGTGGTTTATATCTATCCATTTCACTGGGGAACAATTTATCAACAGATTTGTATCTTAAATGAAAGACACATCTATCGTAATATAAATTTTCCAAGTTAATGTATTGTCATGTGTAAAAAGCATCTAGGAAAACTGCTTGGTGAACCAACACATATTTTCAGTAAGAGGCCGAAAGGGAGATTAGTGACACACAGGGAACCAAGTATTGTTAGCCACAGGGGCATGGCAAGTTTCAGGTGGATGCATTTGTGTAACCTATTGCTGCTAATCCTTAGAGTGATAATTTTTTGTTTGTATGTTTATTTTGTTTGTGTGTTTTTGAAGGTAAGAGACTTCCTGTACTCAGCACCTCTGTCTTTCTCTCTTGAGAATTTTTAGTTCCTCTCAGAACCTTCCAAACTTAATTATCATGTTCTGTTAACTTGAGGGTGGGGCCCTCCCTTTTCTTACCTGGGGTGGCCATCGTCTTCTTTTTTTTGTTTTTGTTTTTGTTTTAATATCTCTTCTTTTATGATTGATCAATGAGTTTGGAGACAGACAAGAAACAAAGATATCTGCACACACCAGAGAGAGTCAGGCCATTCTAGAACACATTTATTGGTTATAGTTCTTGATTGTAACTGTGCTAGGCATTCTCCAGGTTACAAAGATTTCAGATATACAAGTGTAAGTATACATGACTAACAGGCAGATTTTGAAATGCACAGACCAAAAAGAATAGCTCTTCAGAAATTCTGGAAGAAGAAAATCTGTATTAATACCACAGTGGGTTGGCAGCTCTTGTATTCACCTTCATGTCTGGCTTCAGGAACTCTTTCTTTTGACCTGCAGATGAGAAGCATTTTAGGTTTACCAATGGCTTTTCATAGTGGGGCTTGAGAGAATGTGTGAAGGCCTATTATTCAGACAAATGATAGAGCTACTAAAATATCCCTTGGGCTTTTGAGTTATCACAGCTTTCCTTCTCTGTGGCTCCTTTACTGTAATTCTTTGAAGTTTCTTCTTGTCTTTTATGGCATGGGAGCAGAGCTTTCTCTACTGCTCCCCTCTAGTTCTAGAAGAGCCCTTAAGCCCCTGGATGTAAGAGTCTTGTGTTCTATGTGTCACTTCCCCATAGGGTCTATCTGCTGGTTTCTTACCATAGCCATCACCACCAGTGTACTGACAAGCACAGCATATAGGGTGGCTTTCCCTAGCAGGATCTCATAAAGGATGGTAGCAGACAGGACCCCTTGATGATAGGATACTGTTGACAGAAAAGGAGAGCAGGTAAGTACCTTTGGGCAGGTAGCTAGTTCTACAGTCAAAGCCATGAGAGGTAAAGAGTGAAGTCGCTTACCTGAAGTAATTCCACAATCTGAAAGAATAGAGAGAGAGCGAAAAAAAAATGGATGAGATCTCTTTTTATGATTGAAAATTAAGTCAACCTAGGGGCTAGCATAGTCTGACAGGCCCAGATTAAGCCTCCCTCCCCTCAAAGGCTCCAGAACCATCTCTCTTCTGTTCTACCAATTGTTCTTGAAACCCATGGGTTAGGCACCAAGGATAATGGTTCGGATACTGAGGTGCACACGTGCCATGGAACAGAGACCCTACATGTAAGGCTGCCAGAACATGGATCTGGAGTTAGAATTATACATAGTTGTCTAGTTTATCTTCTTGGAAGGCTTTCATCCCTTTCCACTCTTTTTTCTGTATCTAGACTTTCTGGCTTTTCAACTGCATCTTTCCATTTTTCTTTTTCACAACTGATGCTCATTCTTCTCACCAGCTTCCCAGGTCTCACTTACCTGCTTTGCCCCAGGTCTCTGCACTAACGTTCTGTGTGACAGGTTTGGGTGAGCCTTCTGGCCAATTGTCTTCCTCTGTAAGCCCATAGAAGTGCACTTGGCAGAGGAAGTGATTGCGAGGATTGTGCCAGAAGGTAGCAGAAACCCTCAGGCGGCTGCTCAGGCAGTAGGTGACTCCATTGCTCTCCTTGTAGGCTTCAGGGTCTGTGCTGACCCCATTGTCGATCTTCTTCCCATTAACCCACCAGCTGAGCTCCACGTGGTCAGGGAAGAAGCCCCTGGCTAAGCACACGAGGGTAGCCTTTTGTTTGTCTGAGATCTCTGCTTTTGATGGCTCAAACAAGGAGACCTTGGGTGGAGTCACCTTGCTCAGATCCTCTGAAAAATGAAGAGAGTAAGACTGGTCTGAGAGCTGTCTGGACCTGGCTTGGACTTGTAAGAGAGGGCTGGACATGGTCATTCTAAAGTACAACTATGTCGTACCAGGTTCTCATTGCTTTCCTCCCTTGTCCAACTCTGTTTCTGATCTCCCTCGACATTCTCTCATCCGTATGGATTGTTCTATGCTTTGTATACTCTCTCTCCACACTTTCCTATGGCTGAATGGTATCCTGATATATTTTTTTTTGACTTTCTTGTAATGACTCACGTACTTGGATGTTGATCATAGGTTAAAAAGAATATACCCATTGTTTTTTCTTTGGAAACGAAAATCCATGCATGGCTATTTGAAACACTGGCTTTGAGTGAGATTGAATTTTAAGACAAAAGTATCACATTAATGTCATGATCCTAAGAACT